CCGCTTCTGCCACGTGACCTAGAATTTTTTCAAGTCATCATTAAACTCTTGACACATTACACTGACCAACATTTGATCATATAGCCTATCTGTACATTTAACCATCCAGTAGCGGGATGGGAGTATCACTGGAATCACATTAAACCGTAAACATCAGAGGCGCAGTTCAAAAGAAATTGCTGCAGCGTAGTGCTCTGATCTGCCAGAACTTGCAAAGCAGACGTGATTGCCTTATGAAGGCGCCTTACTCTCTACTGAAAATTGACCAATCTGACCATTACAGTGTAAGCCGCAAGCAGTAGTAATTTCCATCAGCTTATACTTTCAGTTGAAAATTAAACTAACCCCTTTTAGCATCATGCTTTCATCAGTTTTACTGCTCTGGTCTATCACTTCAATCATATTCGATGACCGGTTATCCTTTTGAATTGCGGAGGCAGCTGAATCGTAGTGTCTTTAACGTTCCTCTGCCAGCGTTTGAGTTTCTCTATAACATAACCCGAGTGTTCGACCGAGTATCGAGCTGCTTGCCCCAGATCACTGTTGGCAGTTCCTGGAGACTTCAGTCAGCCGGGTGAGCAAGTATTAGCTATTTTGCCATCCTTCCTTTCTAAAGCATTCACAATACATGCCAAAACCATCCAAGCTGTGACTTCTCATCCGGTTGTACACCAAGGCTGTCTCGGATATCTTAACTCTGGACCATGTCGAGACGCGAGGCAAGCGATTCTGATCAGAAACCTATTTCAGCCCCTTGTATCCGGGATGGAAGATTTTAGTCATGATCCACGACTTATGACCACAGGTCAACGTGGACATGAAGATCGACTTGAGCACCGAAAGTTTAGTTTTCAGACTATCTGCTTCAGTCGCAGTGATTCGGGCTAGTTCAGGCAGAACGCCACTGGCTACTCCACTTTGCCTGTCGATCTCTTCCTCAGATTTTTCTTCACCAGTAAAGATAACCCCAGGGTACATAAAATCTGCACCTGCTTTACTGTTTCTCTGTTTATCTGCAGAGCGCAATAAGCAAGAAAACTGGAAAACAATACTTTTCATTTTAGACACTTTTGCGTGCATGCCAGCCGCTTTGCACTAGACTGCGATTGTTTTCTTAACATCGGTTTCATAAGATGCAAGCAAATCAGAATGACGTAACCTGCAAGTAGGAAATTTATGGCTATCTCCCACTGCGAAGGCATTCATGGCAGGCACGTATTGCAAACGTTTAGAGTTCTCGGCTTAACGCGATTTTCCGTGACGCAGTACCCGCTATCAATAGATAGCCACTCAGTGACTCATAGCAACTGGCCTTCGATCCAATGTTTGCAGGCTTGTGTAGGAACCTGTCATGGGCTTTTTACAGCACTATAAGACACAAAGTGGCTGAACGAACTCATGCAATTTTTTGACGACCTGAAACATGGCGTAGGGCGAAAATTTGGTCATAACGGAAGCCTAGGTTAAAATAACCCTTTCGTGACTGGAAACGCAACGAGTTTCGTTTGAGACGTCAGTGTTTAATGGTAATTGTATAGATTTTATGCGCTGTTTTCCCCCATACCATTGTCATCTGCGATATAATGATCTTTTTCGAAAGATTTTTAACAACAAGATTAATTTATCGTTGATAATATTCTGAAATTTTAGAATTAGAGAGCGATATAAATTCATGTCTCAGTGAAATGAATAACGGAATTCGATTGCTGGTCCCACTGATAGAAGATTCTGTGGACGTAAATGGTCCTTCTACTTCGTTTGCTGATTGCGTTGTTCCTGATTCTGTGACAGTTGCACTGAACGTCAAAAAAACTCCTCTTTACCTGACTGAAGATAATGCCGATCTGGTAAATTCATTGCGAGATACATATAAATTGATGGTGAATGACTACCAGCCAAAACTGAAGAAATGGTTGAAAACAGCGAGCAAATATGGTTCACCGCTTTCGTTAATGAGGCGACTTACTGACTTTTCGAATACGCTGTCCTCACTGAAGCAAAAGTTTGATGATTTGAACATTACAACTTCATCTAAGGCGAAAGAATCAAGCGATGACGATGATTGCAGTGATTTTCAAGAGGTTAGTGAAAAAGAAGGTCTCGAAATGATGTGGAAGCCTCCAGATGATGTACCGCAGTATATTTTGAACAGTTTAGACGTAAGCAAACAACCGTCGTCTTTAGTGTCTACTGAGTCATCTAAGCAAGTTAGTGTAACAGATAACAGACCTGCGATCCCGGTTGTCTCTTATGGATTGGATCTGAAGTACTGGAATAAACAGAATGTTGAAGCGCCACTGAGAATGCGTAACGATTATGACTGTCATCGGTTTTGGCGACCAATTGAATCGGACGATACTTGTCAAGACGAAGATATTGCAGCATATCGAGAACGAATAATCGAATTCACTGGTAAATTCGAACCCGTTCTTCATGAATGTCGTGCTCCATTAAAAAATGGTAAATTATGTCCAAGGAAAGATCGAGTAAAGTGCCCGCTGCACGGGCTGATTATTCCACGTAACGAAGAAGGTAAAGCAGTTTTTGCTGATAGCTCGGCTCCAGTTCATGGAT